CCCCCCCCCCCCCACCCCATGCAGCTTGTTACACAGTGGCATGAGAGAACCATTCCCAGTCACTCTTGTTGTGAAATGAGGCCAATTCACTGACGAGCTTCATCAGGCAGCAATGCACATACTGTAAGTCCGTAGCAGTGCAGCCTATGGAAAGCCGTTGGTTACGTGTTTAGGAGATGTTGATCCAGGGCCAGAAATGCTGTCGTCGTGGGCTAGCCACTAGCGTCTGTCATTCGTGCCAGTAATGGTGGGAAACACCGCAAAGACTCCGCTACACACACACACACACACACACACACACACACACACACACACAAACAACTCGGGCGGACTGGGCTGGTCGGCAGGTCACTGACGGACTCACTGGACTGACGATGCCCACTTCTGGTTATTGGTGTTTTTAGCATCTCTGAATAGGTGAACGCCATAACAGCAAAGGAACTGAGAAACAGGGCGCACACTTTAAAAGATGAAGACGCCAAGACTCAAATGACAATGACGACGTGTATGTTGCGGTGCTAAGAAATGTTGTCGAAGGCAGAAATGTATACACTGTGTGTGTGTGTGTGTGTGTGTGTGTGTGTGTGTGTGTGTGTGTGTGTATGTATATATACAGTAAATATTCCCATTGTGTGTGTGTGTGTGTGTGTGTGTGTGTGTATACACACACACACACACGCACACACACACACACACACACTTATTTATTTATTTATACATATTTTTTTTAACTGCCAATGGAAGTTATTTTGTTATCACTGTAATTGTTTTACTTGGTTAAAGATACAGAAGATTAAAAATGCAATTGTAATGAACAGCCAACTGGTTTTCATTTTTTTAGAAAACAAATGACTGTTTTCAGTTCGTTGCAACCTATAAATTGTCTTGGAAAGATTGCTGTGCATCATAACTTGGAATAATGTAATTTTACAAGAAAATATTTTTGAAAGTAAATATTTTACAATTGGGAGGTTTGCGTAAAAGCATTCCAATTCTCTAACGGTTGATGACTTGAAAATGACGCAAAGTTTCATTTGCATAGACGATAAAAATCAGGGAAAGACATAATTTATATAATACAATGTGGTGTTGAGCCGACTATGCACTTTTTAGCTTTGCAGTACAGGGAGACTGAGTTCACTTCCTACCACTTCGGAAAAAGCAGCGCGCCAAACAGCCACGACTCGGGAACATAACACAGCGCTGGAGAATCTTACTACCTATTGGTGCGCAACTTTTGGCATGTTAGCCTTTTATAAATTCAAATTTGAAATCATACCAGACTTAAGGACGTGTTGTAATAGTATACATTTATGTATACATTAAATTAACTGTACTCGGGTTACAATTTTTATGCTTATTGGCGTTCTGCCAAGGCCATAGTAGGTTAGCAGTGTACACTGAGGCCAAGATGACTTTTTTTAAGTTATGGCAATGAGCTTCCTGAAATCGTGTTGTCCATGCACTCACTTTCTCTTCCTCCCTCCCTCCCTCCCTCCCTCTCTCTACCCATCACCCTCTTTTCCTCTTGTCACTCTTCTTTCCTCGACATTATCTTTGACCCTTTCCACCACAGCCGAAGCACCAGGACACTTTCTCCCTGACACCTCAGCGGCCCCTCACCACTATCAACCCCATTGGCCACTCCCTCCATCCGAACGGAGCGACAACACTCAAGCCTTCACCCGTGCCACGTACCATCCAGGCTATGCCGTGGGAGCAGCGCTCGCTCTACAATCAATAAAAATTCAGGAACCAGCGTCCCTCTTCATCGCTCATCCAACACACAACCCCCCACTCTTCTTTCCCTCGACTTTGCCGCTTCCAAAATTTAAGGACTGAGGACATCAACCACCGTTTGAATGCCAGAGTGAGCTCATTTTGGGACATGCTTGTGGCAATGGAAAACGGCAACCATTCTGAACTAGTTGAGATAATTACTGAATAGTTAGATTTTTGTTTGTTTGTTTTTTTACATCTCGCCCCTCGTGTATGATGCATACTGGTCATCAGTTAACATCTGTGATTTCATTCAGAATGAGTCTCCACACCTTCCTCTCCTCATGGAACATAATATATGCTTCTGCTAATTCTATGGATATGAAATCCATTTGAATGGAAATATTCCATTGCCTGTTCAACCCAATATTTTCAAGACTTGTTCAACCCAATATTTTCAAGACTAGGCAGGTCAACAACTTTTTCCCGTTTGTTCTTTCTGAACTTCTGCAATTTAAAAAAAAAATGTTACTGAGCACTCTTACACCCCTCGACTTTGTGCCACAATGTACATACAGTGTACATTATTCATATCAGGACTACTGAATGAAATATACATCTTTAGTCTTACCCGTAGATAAATATTGAGGAACTGCTGTCGTCGCAAGGATACTTTCCAGACTAGTCTGCTCACACTTCAGCCCTTTCATCAATCTTTTATACAAATTGTACATTTATTTCAACAAGATGTACGCATTATAAAGTCACATTTGGCTCGTGGCTTGTACCTAAAATCCAAAAGAGAACACTGAGATACCTTTCAAATTAAAGCACTCTGACAAATTTATACTTGTGACACTTATATATTAAACGTTGTACTTTTCCAGAGCCAGTACCAGCTAGTATGTTGTTGTGAGCCAGTTTCTGCCCACATTACAATTGCATTTGGGAAAAAAAAGGTTTCTCTGTAGCTCAGGACCTACACACTACCCTAAAATGGCTTATTACGTGATGAAAAAGCACCAGGGTAGAGTTTCATTTCGCAGCTAGTTTGCTAAATAATTCCACATACTGTACATCTGTAGTTGGATGTGACAGTGACGAGATCCAGGTTAGTTTGATAAAGTTTCACGATGGATCCTGTATGTAGCTCGGTTACATTTCTGTTAAAAGATCCCAAAATCCTACTGACATTTTTTCTTTTATTTCTATTTTTTATTAATGTCATGATGTTTTCTCTTTCCTTGTTAAGTGTCTTGAGTATTTAGAAAAGTACTATACAAATAAAATGTTTTATCACCACCGGTTTTGTTTTTCCTTTCATGCAGACTGCATTCGAGGGAACATTTATGTATAACACGTCATGACTCTTATGTCAAAATTATGGATATGTAAACCTGTAGTTGCACCAAGAATTGTTTTCAGAGTAGATTTCGGACTTCCAGTTTGCTCTCTGTCTCAAGGCACTGACTGGCTAATCCTGCACTCGAGTATGAGAGAGGTAGTGACTAGCGCAAAATTGCCCAGCAGCAAGCAGAGCAAGCTGACTGGCGCATCTGGTGAAACGAGGCTGCAATTTGTGTTTTTAAATGATCCCCGCCGAGAGTACAAGCGTATCTGGCTTTAATGATTTCCCAGACCTGTGGCACAGCCGTGTGTCATCCCAGGTGTTTCACTAAAGCTCAGATGACCGATGAAGGGGAAGTAAAACTGCTATAGTGAGTCTGAATATTATTCATGATCAAGGTTTTGTTCCTCACAGTTTAAAAACCTGTGTAGTGGGTGGCCCAGTAGCCCAGTGGTTAGCGCGTTAACCTCACAGTGCACAGGTCATGGGTTCGATGCTGGCTCTGGCCATCCTATGTGGAGTTTGTTTTCTCTCCGGCCCTGCGTGGGTTTTCTATGGGTACACCGGTTTCCTCCCACATTCCAAAAACATGCATGGACAGGCTGATTGAACACTCAAAATTTTCCCTTGGTGTGAGTGATAGCGCGAATGGTTGTTCCTCTCTGTGTGCCCTGCGATTGGCTAGCAACCGGTTCAGGGTGTCCCCCGCCTACTGCCCGAAGACAGGCTCCAGCACCTCTTGCCACCCCTGTCAGGATGAAGTGGTTCAGAAAATGGATGGATGGAGGGATATAACCTGTGTAGTGTCCTCGCTAAAACGAGGTTTAGGGCGTGTTCGGAAATAATACCGGGAGCGCACTGATTCATTCTAACCGTTCGGAAAGTCAAAACGTTGCTCAAATTTGTCATTTGGTTTTTATAGGGGTTCCAAAAAGTGAGTACCATTACACACACGAGACGCGACTTGGGACGCCAGTGCCAGCTCCGAGGGTCGCGAGGCGTGTTGGAGCCTATCCCAGCTGCCTTTGGGCAGTAGGCGGGGGACACCCTGAACTGGTTGCCGGCCAGTCGCAGGGCACGCGTACATCCGTGGCCAAAAGTTTTGAGAATGACGCATAATATACATTTTCACAAAGTCTACTGCCTATTTTTTTCAAATGGCGTTTTGCATCTATTCCAGAATGTTTTGAAGAGTGATCAAATAGATTTAAATAAATTGCAAAGTCCCTCTTTGCCATGAAAATTAGCTTAATTGAACTACAAGGAGAGAGGTTCAATTGCTGTGAAGAAGGCTTTGGTTGCCCAAGAAAAGTCCATAAAACCCCAGGACTGTCTCATGAAGTTGATTCAGCTGTGGGATCAGAGCACCACCAGTGCAGAACTTAGTCAGGAATGGCAGCAGGCAGGTATGAGTGCATCAACACGCACAGTGAAGCAAAGACTTTTGGAGGATTGCCTACTGTCAAGAAGGACAACAAAGGACAACAACATTAAACACAGAGTTTGTTGAACACTCTTTGTGAAACAGACCCCTGCTTGTTGCAGTCCAGAGACGATCGACCAGCGTTTTGGTTGTTGGGCCTTGCCAGATAAGGGTTTGGCATGCTCCTGTCGGCTGCCATAGTGTGAGCCTATGCAGTTCTATCGGCTTGCCATACCAATGAAGTTGCCCCTCTTCACCATGAATCTGATTGCCCCCTGCCCTCGCCTCATCCACCAACCACTTCGGGTAGGAAAATTACAAAATGTTCTTTCTTTTTTTCGTCTTTCTTTTGTTTGTTTGTAGTTCTTTATTCTTGTTTGCTTGTTTACTACTTCTGGCGCCCGGTGCTCGAGTAGGTAGCGCATCGACCTCACAGGGCAGAGGTCGTGGGTTCAATCCCGGCTCCGGCCTTCCTGTGTGGAGTTTGCATGTTCTCCCTGGGCCTGCATGGGTTTTTTTCCGGGTACTCCGGTTTCCTCCCACATTCCAAAAACATGCATGGCAGGCTGATTGGACACTCAAAAAATTGTCCATAGGTGTGAGTGTGAGTGCGGATGGTTGTTCGTTTCTGTGTACCCTGCGATTGGCTGGCAACCGGTTCAGGGTGTCCCCCGCCTTCTGCACGAAGATGGCTGGGATCGGCTCCAGCACCACACGACCCTTGTAGGCATTAAGCGGATTGGAAAATGGATGGATGGATTACAACTTCTTGTTTGCTTGTTTTTTTATTGGTGGTTCCTTTTTCTTGTTTCTTTGTTTTTTAGTTCGCAATTCATTTTCTGGTTGTTTTTTTAATATAATTTTGGCAATAAAGTTGGACTTTGTCTTGATAATGGGATTCCCTTTTCTGGTTTTATTTGCATTTCTTTTTCTTGTGTGCTTGTTTTTCGTTTTGTATGCCTTTTCCTGCCTGCTTGTTTTTTTTTGTTTGCGATTTATTTTCTTGTGTGCTTGGTTTTTTTGTTTGTTTGTGATTCCTTTTACTTGTGATTTCTTTTATTCACTTTGTATGCACTTTTGTTTGTAAGTCATTTTTCACTTGTGCTTATTTTTTGCCATTACTGTATTTTTTTCTTTTTGCTTGTGTTTTTGTGTTTGTGTTTTGCACTTAAGAGTCACCATATTATTGTGTCCAAAATAAATGCAAACACAATCTGGACATTTAAAACTCAACTGTTGTTCTGCTGTCTCATGCTCATCTTTGGATGTCAAAATAAAATATTTTCAGTCTACACCAAGCATGAATGATTTGACCTCGCTGTTTTCATACATTTGTAGCGAAATTAATGTGATTTAAGATTCTGCACACAGACTTCTTCCAAAAGCCCGTCGAGCGAGGTCGTGAGCGCCCCCTGTTAAGCTCCTCGCGCATATGGTTTTATCTGGTTGGCTGCAGCGTGATCGGGAACGCACCGGGGCGGCCCTGTAAGGAAAAAACTAGCAGCCGTTGGCGAGGTGATGTGACAGCTCAGAGGTGTCCACGTCAACACACCAAACGAAAGAGCGCGTCGGCAATGGATTCCAAGTCTCTGGTGAGGCTCTCGGTTGTTTCACGGCGCTGCGAACAGGCGTTTCACTTTGGTGGAGGACTGTTGCCATATATATTTAATGCTATAGCGATCTCGTCTAACATTTGTTTGCCCACGACAGCTGTAGTTGGCAGGTAGCATACGGTAGCAACCTCGGAGTTCAGTACAATGTATCGCAGTTATTTCTTTGAATTGGATAGACGAACAGCTGTGATTTTTATTTTTGTGTCGCTTACTTTATACGCACAAAAATAGGAGCAGAGCTACTGCCGATACATCGCGACCAACTTATGTTGCGTTTTTTGCACTCCTTCGCCATAGTATGGCTGCGCAACAGTCGTAATCCACTTATTCACAGTGTTCGGGCGAACGTAACAGTTCCTAAGACAGGAAATGTTTTGCATCGAGCTACAAGTGCGTTGGTATCAGGATAGCATTGTTTATTACCACGAGCTGTTAGAATGTCTGCTTGTGTCCAAATGACGTGTGAGAGCACTTTGTGCCACGTCCACGTCTCTCTCTCTCTCTCTCTCTCTCTCTCTCTCTCTCTCTCTCTCTCTCTCTCTCTCTAGCTCTGTACTGTATTCTCTCTCTCTAGCTCTGTACTGTATTCCAATTCAGTATACACTACTTCATGTCAACGTGAAAATGTTCAGGAATGAAGAAGCCCATGCAATGAAAAATATATCCATGGGCGTCAGCCAGCTCGATTTTTTACAGAAGACTATCTTCAAGCAAACTGTTAGCATTCTGTACAGGATCACTCAGTACATATTGGAATATTTGGTGAATTACCGCGTAGCATGAAAGCAAATTCATCCATCCGATGTTGACTGATACGCTATGAAGGGCTTTATTAATGATAGTTTGAAACCCGTTTCACACTGGACTACTTGGTTTTCGCGGTGTTTCCTATCAGGCCGAGTGTAGGACAGCTTAATGATGTCCATATTTTTATACTGTTTTGACAGCTGGTGGCCTTTTCCCACGAATTTGGACTTAATAGCTCATTAAAAGCGCTGGCTTTGCTTATAATGAGGAGAAAACGGAGACCTGATACACGTGGAGCATAATACATTTCTTTTGTGAAAAGAAATCTAAATTATGCATTTCTATGACTTTTAACCAACGTAGTGCCGTCATCGTGGTGGAGGGAGATCTCTGTACTTTGTGTTATCTTTTTTAACATGTCACATCAAGTCACCTGTCTTGTCTCCGAGAGATTGCCACGGGATTTATTATTATTTCCTCCAAGATTTTTTACTATACAACTCTGCCAAAATCTGTGGTGTGCTGCTGTCCGAATGTAAAGTCTTTCAATACGGATGCGTTTGTCATCGAGAAACCCTGCGATGAGGCATAGTGCCTTGTCGTTGCGTCTCAACAGCACATTCATAGTTAATGGGCTAGATGACTACATTGCACTCTGCTAAATGCAGTGCAAAAAGTCCTCGAAGCGTAGCTGCTTTTGTTTGGTGTAGACCCCACTTTTTCCAAAATACAAGACAACACCATCATTGCATTTAATTTCCAAAATACCAGTACAGTCAAACCTCAGTTTTCGAACGTCTCGGTTCTCGTACAATTCAGTTTTCGAACAAAAATTTCGAGTTTTTTTATGCCTCGGATGACGAACAAATTTCGGTTCTCGAACTAACTGAGCGCACTTGAATGCGTCACTTCACTCCTCTCGGCTTCGCTTCCTTGTGTAGCGTCCAATGTGAGCAGACGTTTTTGTATTGTTCAATAAAGATTTTAAAAAAAATAAAAAAAAGCAGACGTGTTTGGTGAGACGCTTCTGTTTGGGGGGGGGGTGAAACCCCCCTTTTTTCAGAATGGTTTGCCCCAGCAGCACGGGGGAAGTGCGTGCGTTTGTTGTACGGCCGGCAGTTTTCACTACAGCGGCACATGATGAACACTCTGGTGTCCGGTGTCTCATTATTATGGAATAATCATACAGAAACAGCTTCCTCGTGTAGCATCCATTGTGAGCAGACGAGTTTGTATTGTTCAATAAAGATTGCTTTTTTTTTAAAAAGCAGACGTGTTTGGTGAGAACTACGTAATATCGGACTGTTATTTTTGCATCGTGTATCAGCCCCGAATCATGGCACCAAAGAAAGCAAGTGGAAGTGAACCTGATGAAGAAAAGAGAAAAATAGTGCGCAAAACTATAGAATTTAAGAAAGATTTGATCGCGAAATATAAGTCAGGTGTGCGTGTGTCTGTGTTGGCTAAGGAGTTCGGGATGCCGAAATGCCCCGCCTACTGCCCTATGACAGCTGGGATAGGCGCACGCCCCATGACAGATAGAGAGAGAGATGTTCCTTCAATTTTTATGTTACTATGTTAATGTTAAAATTGGTGAAAATAAAACATATTACAGTTTGTTCGTACAGTATTTTACATATTACCTGCTCTCTTATTACGTGTGTACAGTTTATGGTGTGAAATTGTAAAAAAAAAGTTGTTTTCTTGACTTGGAACGGATTAAAAATTTTTACATTGATTCCAATGGGAAACATGGTTTCGGTTTTCGAACAATTCGGTTTTCCAACAGTCTTCTGGAACGGATTATGTACGAAAACCGAGGTTCGACTGTATTTGAAAAAGAAAATGCAGCAAAAGCGTTCCAACTCTGAGAGGCTGGATTGCAGCAGCCTTCGCATCGAAGTCAGAAGCCTGTCTATGGTGTGCGTCAGATTAAGGAATGGCTTGAACACGATAAATAAATGTAGGAGTGAAAACATGTACTTTACCATATTCACAGCCATCTAATTTAACTAGCACTATTTGCTTTTTAGAAATGAATGGACTGTTTGAGCTGGCTTTCTCAACTGCCCACATTCACTGAAGCTCAGCGTGACTGCATGCTTATCTTTTTCATTGTGTAGTACGTGTGGACTTATAAATACAGTCTGGTGCTGTTGTAAAACACAATATGTATAGGGCCGATTGGGTCTCTAACTATCAAATGATTGCTATATTAAACCCTGGAAACAGTATTTATTGTGTGTTTAAACAATTGATCTTATTTACTTTATTTTTCGAGCACTTTCACGACACCTGCGGTTGTAACAAAGTGCTTTACAGAACATTTAACGTGAAATAACAAATGTAATAAGGTAGAACACGTAACAAAACAAGAACAATAACACAATCAAAACTATTCCTCCATACGCCTTCATATTTGAAGCAGTTATCGATGAAAGAATAACAAATCAAAGTCTACTTTCCCCACTGGATCAGAGACATCATGATCACAGCGTGCATGACGTCACACAGGTCTGCTCCTAGCTAAGTTTGAACGTAAACAAGAAGCTGTAGGTAGCGTACAATGACGAATAAGAGATTGGTTGAGTTCTCCTGTCCCACCTCCGCTTAATACCAAGTGCCGACTCTCAGTTCCAGATATACAGATAATTTCTTTGAGGGGTGTAGAAATTAGGTGTAAAATTCTTGCTTAAAAAAGTTTCTCAGTTTGAACATTAAATATGTTGACTTTGTAATGTATTCAATTAAATATAGGTTGAACATTATTTGCAAATCATTGTATTCGGTTTTTATTTATGTTTGACACAAGGTCCCAACTTCATTGGAATTGGGTTTGTATCTGAAAAGCATTTATCAAAACCATAATAGAATAAAAAATATAATTTCCTATCGTGATGATCAAATACATGATTACAAAAAAGAAATTACGACACGGACCTGAATTTTCCATTATAAATTTCCTCTAAGTTTAATGCTAATTCATAAAATGCTAGCAAGTTAATGTGCCATATGTCAGGTATAAAAAAACAGCAATTATAAGTTCAGTCCTGTTTTATACATGAGAATGTTGGTTCAGATGAATAAAGGAGGAAAAAAAAATATTCATGTTATTTATCTTAATCTTCATGCTTGTTCCCCCTGAGGTAAACTTAAATCCAGGCTGGAAGTAAGTTGTAAGTGTCTGGTCTAAGTTCTGTGATACACTCTGACTGTGAATCTATGCTAGTCAGTGCATAACAGAACTTTGTCCCGAGTCTAAAAATCTCTTCTGACAAATGGAAAAGTGAAAGAATCTTTTGTTACATCAACATATGAATTGGGATTCAACATAAAACGGTCACTACATTCCATCCATCCATTATCTGAGCCTGTTACCCTCACAAAGGTCGCAGGCATGCTGGATGGAGATCATTCGAGCTGTCTTCAACCCAAAATGTTGGGTTGAAGAAATAATCTGATCTTTATTCGTTGTAATTGCTGCCGTCTTTGTTTTGAAATATAATACCTTTATTTTGAAAATGCTGTACCGGAAGTTGCATGTTACAGACTCTCTGTAAGCTTTGCGCAGAAATTGAGCATTTGTTGTGGCGAGATTTGCCATGCGTGTTCCTTTTTCCTCATCATTCCTCATTGTTTTGCCAAAGCCGAGTGAATATACAAAGTTAATATCATAGCAGAAATTGAGAGGCACTTATCGTAGTGGCATTTGCTTACTTTTTCCTCGTTGTCCCGTTTTGCCAAAGCCGAGTGAATATACAAACTTCATAAAATAAGATTGTTGAAGCATCATATTTTTGACTGAAAGTTTTATCTCTGGAAGAGGACTACTGTTGTTGTGAGCAGTTTAAGTTACGGCTGCTATTTCTGTATTTAACACATACAATGTTGCAGCTCCGAAAAAGGAGAGCCGTGGTGTTGGTTTTTAGAACGTATAGTTTATTAATGCTTTTCACAATCTCAACCAATACAGGCACGTCCTTTTCCGTCTCTGTGCCTTCTCTTCTGCTGTTCGACTCGAGAGACGTTCAAGGACCGCCTCCGAAAAACGTATATTAACGATAACTTCAATGACACAAAGAAAATCGAAAATAATCCACCAGAACAGAAAATCAAGTGACGAAATCACAAAATAAAGTCTATGGGGGGTTTGTGAATACATAACGAAGGAATAAATAACATTTAACAAGACAGTCCAGTCTACTACAACAAGGCCCACTGTATTATTGGAAGCAGGCATGGTAAAACATTCGTTAGTTAAAAAAAAAAAAAAGTAACATGCATGCATGCTAGCGTATGTTTTTTAAAAGGCAGCAGGAGCAAACGTGAGTTCGGTCGTACTTTTAAGTATTTAACAGTGACTCGTGTTATTTTTTTCATCAATCCTCAGCCACAAATCCATCAAAGTCCTCATCTTAAGTATCCGAAATGAACAGCTGGGCAAGTTCTCCATCGAACACACCAGGTTCCCTCGCGTCATTGTCAGAGTTAGTCTCGTTGCCATGCGGCTCCTCAGAAATGATGCCGGCTTTTGCTAAAGCTCGAACAGTGCAAGCAGACACGTTCGCTTGCCTAAGCATCCACACTCCATTCACAAATTGTGGGGTAACTTGCCCAGCGCCGCCTCCCAAGTTTTAGTAAAGCTGTGTTCGCTATCTCATCATCCATCGCTCCCACGCCGCTCCCAACTTTACTTTGAACACCCTGTTTATACCGATGTCCAGCGGTTGGAGTTCCTTCATCAAGCCTCCCGGAATGATGGCAAACTCAGAGTTCGTTTGCTGCACTTGGCTTTTTCACAACGGCTGTGAGATGGGTGGGCATGGAGTCAAAGACCAACAGGGATGGTGAGGCGTGGCAAAAAAAAAAAAAAACATCCGGTCTCTTTACGTACACCTCACTCAGCCACTCTCTCCTTTTCTCCTCATCCATCCAGCCTTTTTTTTATTAGCCTGAAGGATGACTTCGGCTGGAAACTTTGCTTTCGGCAGCGTCTCCCTCTTAAAAATCACCATTGGTGGCAGTTTCTGTCCATTACCATGGCAACCAAGCACAACAGTAAAAGTGGACTTCTTGTGCCCCGTTGTGCGTGTTGCTACTGTGCTGGTCTCCTTCTCTACAGTGTGGTTCACCGGGATGTCGAAAGTGAGCGGCCAGCCATGATAGTGTGTTTTTACCGTATTGGCCTGAATATAAGACAATGTTTTTTGCATTGAAATAAGACTGAAAAAGTGTGGGTCGTCTTATATTCGGGTCGAGACATTATACCCATTCACGACGCTAGATGGCGCCAGATATCATTGAACCGAATGCTGAACTTGACTCCACAGGCCAAAGTGAACCCCTGTCACGATGAATAAAAATAAAAACAGCGGTAGCACGAAGAAGAAAAATAAAAAATAGCGGTAAGAAAGAAAAGAGAAGAAAATAATAGAAGCGATAACAGAAAATGGAGAAACATAGCGACAATCTGGAGAAAAGTGGGTCGAAGATCGGCCAGGATAACCGGTAGCTGAGGAGAAGTTATGATGTAATTTACATTTCAAAAACCAGAAGCCATTCATTTACGCAGGTGATTGCACTTTAGTTTACATATTTAAATGTTCAGATATTAAGATTTGAATGGGGCAAAATAACATGCTTTTTCTCTCAAATATATTGTTATAATCATTTGTTTCAGATGTACTGTAATTATTTTCTGTATAAAAATTAATTTGGTGTTCAAAAAGTCTTTTTTCAAACTT